AAAATCTGTACTCCTCCCCCAATATTGTCAGGGTGATTAAGTCGAGAAGAATGAGATGGGCAGGGCATGTAGCGCTCATGGATGGGACAAGAGGTGTGCACCGGGTATTGGTTGGGAAGCCTGAGGGGAAGAGATCTCTGGGGAGACCTAGACGTAGATGGGAGGATAATCTCAGGCAGGTTCTATGGGAGATAGGAGTTGAAGGAGACAGGGTCCGGTGGAGGGCTTTGGTTGGTTCGGTGATGAACCTTCGGGTTCCGTAAGCCATCTGGTTAGTTAGTTCAACGTCCCGGTGGGTAGGAGCCTTTCGCCCGTGTTCCGTCGCCAATTCCAGCTGATAACGCAAATTATCACGAGAAGATTTACCAGATATGCACAGTGTAGTTATTAAAATATAAAATAAAAATACGGCTGGTTAAAGCGGACGTGTTAACGTATCTGGGAACTATAATAACAAGGAGAAATGAACATTCAGGAAGGAATTAACATAATTGTGACTTCAGGTAGCGTCAGGTGCGTTGTAGCTTAGAATTTTCCATTCTGCTGAGAACAGACACAAAGATTTCATTTGATCCTGCCCCCCGGCGCAAGTGTTGTGCTTCATCTGGAAATCCTTTTGGTTTGTGAAAGGAATCGGATATCCAAGGAATTTTCGTTTCTTGCTTGCAGGTTGAAATTGAATCGATTCTCTTTTCCCGATCTCAGAGAGCAGCTACGTTTATCGGATCTTCCCGTGGCTGGCCTCTTCCTTTATGGATCACCTCGTAATCCCTGTATCTTCTGCTTGACGTATGGTCGATGTGTGCGACAATAACAGCGAACAAGAATCCAATTCCTTTTCTCCCCCTGCCAGTGGTACAGCATCGACGAAGAAGACTTCCCGAGGGTCTCAGCCTCTGTTGGCCCGGGCTTCGGAGCTTTCCTCAGGCACTTCTCTAACTCTGTGGGGCAGAGGCCGGTTGATAAGCTGATAGTCGCTCAGCTGGTAAAGAACTTCCGTGCTTCCTGTGTTGTCGAGGACCAGCAGCCACCGGTCTGAAGCCAATCCGCAACCTCGTGTACTTAGTCTCTAAGATTCATCTGTGTCGAGGTGTCGTAAGTGGTCTGTTCCATTCGTGGTTTTCCAACTAAAATTCTGTATGCATTTCTGATGTTTATCGTTCATGTCACATAACTCATACGTATTATTATTATTATTCCATCTATTCACCACTTTATAGGGTATTTACTTCCATGTACCCGAGACAAACCTTGCCCCTGAGGTACGTAGTCCAGCAGCTATTTCCGGAATACATTTTGTTTTTAATACGTGTTACATGTATTATATAGTTTTATCGTGAGGGATGACTACATATCTTTCGAATGATGTAAGAAGATCTTAAAATGGCGGTTTTAAGAAGTTCCCTGATGTCGTGTTCGCCAGGAATGTTGGCCAAATATTTTCTGAGTGACTTGGAGACAGTTTCAGTTGGAGTTACTTTTGCGTTCAATTTCCACATTCGCTGTATTTCAATGAGAAGGTCCTTCTATTTCAAGATCTTCTTTGTTTCCTTCTTAATTACATTTCCGTCAGTCGGTATTGCTTTATCAGTTAAGAGATAAGTTGCATTTTTGTATCGGATTCTAATATCTGGTTTGTTATTTGGAATGTTTCTATCTGTTTTGACTTGTTGGTTCCATAAAAGAGTCATCCTGACTTGTCTCAACTGCCTTCGGGATGTGTTCATACCAGTTATTTTTTTAGCTTCACCCCAGTTATTATTAAGTCAAAATGCAGCTGACTACAGACACGATCATGTCGTATATATTGCTTGTTATTATTATTATATACTTAGGCACATTATTAAGCTCATTTACTGTTAATTATTTTGTAATAAATTAATGAATTGATATATTATCATTATTATATTGTACATTTATATATTTGCTTCATTGTTTGTTTTTGTATTGTTATATTTATTGTTAGTGCTTGGCTGTCATTGGCCTCTTTTGGCTGTTGCCAATCACTCTAATAAATGAATTGAATTTAATTGTTATTAATAGTAATGGAATTCACGCTGACCGATTCTTTAGTGGAAGAAGGTGGTTTGGTTCGGTCGTGAATCGCTTACTTCAATCTCGTATAATCAGAGCGCTACTGTACTTCATTTCGTTTGCATCTGTTTAAGAAAAATGCTATCACAATCTTCAGGTATGCAGATGCATTGGCGTAGTTAATATGGAACTTGGTGGTTTACCTTCACCCACGTCTCAGGAATCTTACGCCATTGTGTTCTTATAGGAAGGAATTTATTTCCAGCCAGCTTATATTTCGAAAGATATCGAGAGTTCACGCTTAAGTACGAGATAGAAAGGAAGATAAGTAAGGAATTACAGGCACCATTGAAGCAAGGAAATAGAAAGGATTATGGCGAATTTTGTGCTAACAGTGTAAAGTGGTTTGGGGCTACCCTGTACGCTAGGGGGCGGGTTCATTGATTTCAATTGCCTCAGACTAGAAGGTTCATGTGCTCACGAAGGACTTTGGTGATCTCAGAGTAGAAGGTTCGTGTGCTCGCGAAGGACTTTGGTGATCTCAGAGTAGAAGGTTCATGTGCTCACGAAGGACTTTGGTGATCTCACTTCAAGAGGATCTCATGTCTACCAAACATTTAATAACGGTCACAGTCCATTGAAGTCACATGACCATCAAGGACCTCATTTGTTCTTTGACACTAATTCAGCTCCTTCAGAACAGAATACTGTAATCCATTTCAGAGGGGAATATAGGCCTACTTTTTTCTAATGCTACGTAGAGCCACGTTGATTAACTGCCAAGACTTTTCAAGATTGACAGTGATAGGAGCTGTTGTGTAATGCATTGTTATCGTCGTTGGTCCTCGCACTGCGCACAGTTTGTCTCTGTCGTCGTACTTGCAAACAGACCACGTGCTTTTCGGTTTCTGAGACTTCGTTATTTTGAAGCTGTCAAAAATTTCTCTAGTCCGTAATGAGGTAAACGGTAAAGTAGAATAATCGTGTATGTTGTCATTATAAAATGTCTCTTCGCAAAATGGCGGTGTCGCGTTGCAATTATGACGTCCATCAGTTCTTCCTCCCCTCCCCGTCCAGTCGGTGCTCCATCTAACCTAACCTTCATTCTTCACCGTTACCCCTCCGTTCCATAAGAAAAAAGCAAACAGAAGTGAAAACAGCGCAGTGGATGGGACGCTGAAT